GGTAACGTGATGTCCGCATCTGACCTGTTGCTACTGTCTGCAGTAGATGCAGTGTTGCTGGCGTTTAGTGATGGTTGCTTTAACCATTTTCGTATAAATGATTATCCACAGATCAGATGTGTGTCACTGCTGTGGAAGCACTTTGGAAATGATGCACGCGCAGCGGAGCAGGTCACGCGCACCTGACACAATTTGTTGTTAGTATTTTTCGCTACGTTCTCTTTTTTGAATGGTTGCATAACGTTCAACTTCCCCGAAGATCTCGACGCGAAGCCTGAAGGGTAAACACCAGGTTTACTAATCTACCCGCACAATTTGTCCGGTGTCGGAATGTCTCGCTATGTTAGTACATTCTTAAAAAACAAAACACCATTTAATTTCGGTTTAAAATGTGTTGTAACTGCGTTACTGAGCATTGTAACGGGTAATATATTACCCACATTTCATTAGTAATGCGTTACATTACTTCGTTACAGCAAAAAGTAATATATTACTGTAACTCCGTTACTTTTGTAACGCGTTACACCCAACACTGTCGCTGTGTGATGTTACTACTTTACTTTTACCTAAATAAAATATCTGAGAATGTCTTCCACCACTGCACACACACAATGCAGTGATGGTTGCTGAAACGTTTGTACATTATACATAAATAATAAGAGACTATGCTTTCGACATGCTGTCTGTTAAATGAAAATGTCAGAAATCCAGATGTTGAGTCGTTTATCTCCGCTGGATGGCGGTGGTGGACATGCTGTCTTTTTTGTTGGCTAACACCGGTGGCTGCTAGCCAACCATAAACACCAAAACAACGGGCATCTGTCCCTGGGATGGACTGCAGGGATTGGGTCGATTGCGATCTGTGGGTTCGTTGTTAGCTGGCAGCATTTCCTCCTACTGTAACGGCTAAGAAACATAATTTCCTAAATACATAACGAAGAATTACTCTCAAGAGGGACGGTTCCTGGTAGATTTAGCAGCAACTGCGATTGCGCATCTGGAATTTAGCCGCTAGCGCTAGCTAGCCGACAAGCTAGTTTAGCAGATCCTGTCCTCTGCATTTTTTTCGAAGCATTAGCTATAAGCTAGCTCTCTGTCTCAAGCATTCACAAGTCAAAGAACATGTAAATTACCATGGAGGCAAAGAGACGGGAACTGGTGAGTATGATGATGAAAATGTTTAAACTAGCCTGCTAACGGCCTCTTTCTGTTAACGGTATTCAGCTAGCTTTCTGAGCTTAGCAACCTCTGCATATTAGCTTTGTTGTGATAGCCTGCGGTGAGCCCCTGTTGCTGACACCAGTGTTTATCTCTTATCTTGTTGGATATAAAACCCTCTGTGTTGTTGAATAGCATTGTTATTTGATAAATCTCCACATGTGTGGACATTGTATTGTTGTCACTTTAATGTTTGTAAGATTGGTGCACTATTTAGTGGGCTAACGGTACTGTACATAGGGCTAGAGTTGTTAGCTTCATCAGTATCTCTCTCTATAGGCTGCGTCCGTTTTGAGCATTGCATTGCAATTGTTCCACATTTGGTTCTGTGTTATTCTGCAGTCTGCATGACATGGCAGTTGTCAGAAGGATGGTGTAATTTGCTAATGAAGCAGGAACGGAATTATGCAAACGGATAGGGGACTTGAAGGGCCCAGAGCTGGAAAAAGTATTCAGATATTGTACTTAAGTACAAGTAGAAGTACCAGAGTGTAGGAATACGTTACAAGTAACGGTCCTGCTATCAAAATGTCACTCAAGTACAAGTACAAAAGTATTAGCATACAAATATACTTAAAGAACCAATAGTAAAAATAATCATTGTGCAGATTGGTCCATTTCAACTAGTTTAAATCACGTTGTATACTGCAGGCTAGCTTGTGAATTAACTCCAGGTGTAACTAAAGTCTTATGTAAGTGTTTGATTATATTTCACATCAATAATCCAAATCTGCAAAGTAACTAAAGATATTGAATACATGTAGTGGAGTAAAAGTACACTATTTACCTCTGAATTTTAGTGGGGTAGAAGTACAAAGTAGCAACACATTGAAATACTCAAGGAAAGTACAAGCCTCTCAAAATTGTACTTTAGCACAGTACTTGAGTAAATGGACTATTTATCTTTACATCACTAGCACTTTAATCATCTTTGGTTGTGTGTTATTCTACAGTCTGCATGACATTGCAGTTGTCCTAAGGATTGCGTAGTTTTATACTGAAGCAAGAATGGAATTATGCAAACGGACAGGGGACTTGCACAGCCACATTAGGTTGTTTGTGTGACCGCCACGCCTCCTTAGAAATAATCCTATATTTCTTTGCTGTCATATTTACTTACATGATGCTGATGCATATTTTATATCTGCCAGGAGGACCCACACAAAGTTATCTTTGACCATTTACCTGTCATTATTCAGGCAGTGCCAGTGATGGCCTCCCCCCTGCCTGTCTCCATCATCCTGGTGGTCCTGCTCTTGGCTGAGTCTCCATGCCAGGCAGGGGACTGCAAAGGCCACAGGCAGGTGTTGAGGGGACCACCAGGCTACGTCACAGATGGACCAGGAAACTACTCTGTCAATGGGAACTGCGAGTGGCTTATCAAAGGTATAAGAGTGTGTCTTGTTCGCTGAAACATTTATGAATAAATGCCGAAGACTTTAACTCACAGATATTTCCCACCTTTATACATCCTCCAGCCCCCAGCAGCAGTCACAGCATAGTCCTAAATTTCACCTTCATGGACACAGAATGTACCTATGACTACCTGTTTGTGTATGATGGAGACTCCTACCAGAGCCCTCTTCTAGCCAGCCTGAGTGGCAACACTCTGCCTGAACCCATTGAAGCCAAGTCTGGCAAGGTAACTAATGAAAGCATGATGAAAGAAACTCTGAAGCGTTATAACTATGGCATATAATCATTTTGTGTCTATTATTTGATTTCCTTGTTCCAGATGCTGCTTCATCTTTTCAGTGACGCTAATTACAACCTCCTGGGCTATAATGCAACGTTCACCTTCTCTCTGTGCCCCGGAGCCTGTGGGGGCCGCGGTCGCTGTGACTCCACCACTTCAAAGTGCCAGTGCCATCAGGGTTGGGGAGGAGCAGCTTGTACAACCCTCCTGTGCTCCCAGGCTTGTTCTGTGAATGGCCAGTGTGACAAGGTAAGAGTAGGGATGGGGAAGGTTTAATAATAACAGAAGCGATCAGTGTCCAACAGAAGGGTCATTCATTCTCCCCTAAATAAGCTTATATTATGCCTGTTTGTTGTGCGGTGTGGTCTTAAACAATTTTTCTTCTCCAATGTTTTGTCTCAGAAAGGGGAGCGTTGCATATGTAACCCTGGCTTCCTGGGTCAGAGCTGCCTGCTTGGTTTTCATAACGACAGTGGGGCGGGGCAGTGGTGGCGGGTGAGTGAAGGAAACCCCCACACGCCCCCCAGGATGGGTTCTGCTGGCGTGTATCTGTCCTCCACTGGAGCCATGTACTTGTTTGGCGGTGAGATACTCGTAATTTCTACTGACGTAATATTAAGGGAATAAAATCCTCCTTCTACCCCCTTTATTTCAGCTGCAGTTCCTCATTTGACTTTTACTGGCTAGTGTTATGATGATAAATAACCTCGATGTACATTTGATTATTACTTATTTTCCCACAGGGTTTGACCTGAATAGAGCTCTTGGTGACTTGATCAAATATAACTTCTCCTCCAACCAATGGGAAAGCCGGTCTTATGGTCACTCTCCTGTAAGTAGTTTGTGTATTAACGCACGCACGCACGCACGCACGCACGCACGCACGCACGCACGCACGCACGCACGCACACACACACGCACACGCACACGCACACAGGGGCCTTGTTACTATCAGCCTTCTGCAGAAATCTTATATTTCAAACGTCATGAAAACAAGAAACTTTGCTTCCTTAATCATGATAGAGTATTTAGAGAAACTTAGTCAGCACAGCTAGAATTTATTTGAATAAGAAGTAGTCAGTCGAGATTCAGTGGAAAAAAAACTCCCCAGCCCCAAAGCATATTATGACAAAGAAACCAAACATATGGCAGATATAGAAAAACAGATATCAAATGTATGGTTGTGCAGTAATGTGATTTATGAAATTGTGTGGAGATGAAAGTTTTATAGTAATCAGCTGATTGCAGTGCATCTAAAAATTGCCTTTTTTGTACATAAAAGTAAACTTCAACTGTAATCTTCTCAAATATTCTTTAACATTTAGCTGTTTGACTCTCCGCTCTTGTCAGGTGGCTCGTCATTCCCACACAGCTGTTGAGTGGACGGGTAACATGGTGATCTTTGGAGGAGAGCTTGCTAACGGCTCCCTGGCCAGTGACGTCTGGATGTACCGGCCTCTCCAAGATGACTGGCAGCAGCACGGCTTCTCAAATTCACGTGGGTCTCCTAAACTGGCCAATCACGCTGCAGCTGTCGTAGACAACTATCTCTATGTATTTGGAGGTAAGTTTCACAACATACTGTCACTTTTAAAGGTCACCTATTATGCAAAATACACTTTTTCATGTCTTTTATACATCAACATGTGTCCCCTCTGTGGAAAGAGATTCTGAAAGTTTCAGGAAAAAAGATGAGAAAAATCTGATCAGATTTTGGCCACTTTATAATAATAATAACAATAAATGGGATTTACATAGCGCTTTTCTAGACCCAAAGACGCTTTACATTACGAGTAAGGTCGACAAACAAAACAAGAACAAAAACACAAACAAAAACAAAACAGAAAAGCAGTCAGGAGGATGTTGGTTCAGAGGGGGGAGGGGCGGGTTTAAGGATAAGCAGAGTTGAAGAGGTGGGTTTTGAGACGGGACTGGAACAGGGTGAGGGAATCAGACTCACAGAGATCTTGGGGGAGGGAGTTCCAGAGCTTATAAGCACTCGGTAAAACATAAACACACACAAAAATCTTCTGAATGATAAGAAGTATAATTACAAAATAATGCACATTACCATTTTGAGAGAGAGTACCGAAGTTAAAGAAGTCAGAAAATAATCTCTTATCGAACTGAGGCTCCAGTAAAACACACTGCATCTCTACATGGACATCATGGTGTTTACATGAGCACAGAGAGATCGGGTTATTCATGTTCCCTGTTTACCAGTGGCGAACCGTCAGGGCCTTCAAGGTATTCAGAGAATACCCTGGAACACTCAGATAAAACAAACAAAAAATCGATTTAATTATATAAATAACATGTAATAAAATGTATATAAAATGAATAAATGAGAATTGTATCTGTGTTGTTGATCTGTAATATCACAGTGTTACGTTGATTTCTTTGTCCTTCTCGGACCATGCACTTCGCATTTCAGTGGTTTTGTGTTAGAAAAGAAAGCAACCAATCAGGGGCCGTATTCACAAAGCATTTTATCTTACCGCTAGGAGTGCTCCTAACTCGCGCTAAAGCATTTTACGTAGGAGTTTTTTCTTAAAAGTTATTCACAAAGCCGCTGAGACCTGCTCATACTAAGGATAAATCACTAAGAGTGACGCGCCGTTGCTATGGATTACGTCGATTCTCGTGCATGAGTTTAGAAGCGGTCAGTACGGTGATTGGTTGTTCAGAGCAGGCGGTCTCGGTGAAACTCATCCGCAACATCCCACAAACGAGCCGACTAAATCACCGAAAAACAAGGAAATAGCCTAGGCTAGAAATGTATTCCTATCAAATAGTTATGGACAGTGCAGTTAGCAGAATACACACATGATGACAAGTTTGTGCAGACCACGATAATGACGTTGTATATGCACGTTAAAGAGAGAGAGCAAACAATAAAAATACGTAAATTGCATTAAATCAAGGAGGCAATTAAAAGCACCCTGCAAACTATTATCCAATGAGNGGCCGGGTTAAGGTAAGCAGAGTTGGAAGAGTGGGGTTTTGAGACGGGACTGCGAAACAGGTGAGGGAATCAGACTCTCGCGAGGTCTTGCGGGGGAGGGGAGTTCAGAGCTTCCACGAGAAGGTCTGTCCCCGAAGCTCCGGGTTTGCCTTGGGGGGATTTTAGAGGCAGCCGGGCTGAGCGTGGATCTGAGGACCGGGGGGGTGCTAGAGGATGAGGAGGGCTCAGTGGAGGGTAGGGGGGGGGCCAGTGGTGGAAGGCTTTTATAGGGGAGCGACAGGAGTTTTGAGTGAAATGCTGGTGTGAGACGGGGAGCCAGTGGAGTCTTGAGGACCGGGGTGATGTGATGCCTGATTTTGGTGTGGGTGTGAGGGTCTGGCGGCGCCGTTTCTGACACGCTTGGGTCTGTTTGAGGATGTGCTGCTGATGGCCGAAAGAGGAGTGAAGTTCCCAATATCAAAGGCGGCGAGGGGGATGAAGGCGTGAATGAGCGCTCAGCTGCGGGGCGCGCGGTGAGAGAGGACGGGAGTTTTGGGCGATATTGCCGGAGGTGGGAAAAATATAGGTTTACAAACTTGGCGCCGGATGTGGCGATCGGGGAAGGGGAGAGGGGTGGGCGTCGATATCACGCCAAGGGTTGCGTGCCTGGGTGGGAGGGGGAACAGGGGGCATCCGATGGTGGAGTGTTCAGGTTGGGGGGTTTTTTGCCTAGAGGGGCTGGATTTGGAGCCGATGAGGAGCGAGTTCGTTTTATTGACTGTGGAATTTGGAGGAAGTTGGGTGTGCATCCAGGATTTTATTGCGTCAGACAGGATTCGATGTGTTGTGAGAGGTGGGGGGGTTTGTGGGGGGATTTTGGGCTGACGTTAAATCTGTGTGCTCGTCCAGGCCATAGCAGTGAAAGTCACAGGTTTGTGGGATGGCCGGAGAATCTGACCAAGGGGTAGGATGCAGATGATGAAGAGCAGAGATGCGGGGGCCCGAGTACTGACCTTGGGGACACCGTTGTTGACTGGAACTGATGGTGAGGATTGATTTGTGGTAGGGGAGATGAGGTGCGGATTCTGTCGGAGACGTAGACTGGAAGCCACCTGGAGCTGCGGTACCTTCGATACGTATCCCGGAGTCGGTGGTAAGCAGGAGGTGGGGCTCACGGCGTCTATCGAAGCTGCACTCAGGTCAAGGAGGCATGAGGATGTGACGGGAACCGTGTCATGCGAGGTGAGGAGGGAATGAGGACTTTGATGAGGTGCCGTTTCTTGTGCCTGTGGCTGAGGACGAAACCAGCTGAAGGGGGTTCAACAGAGTCATTTATATTTTGGACGTACAAATAGCGCGGAGGAGTTGATTGGAGCCCATGATGCGACATCTCTACTTGTATATGTGAGAGAAGGGGAGAGGATGGATAGATGGGGCGGCGGTAATGATTACTGAGGGAGAGGGATCCGACCAGGAGTTTCTTGGAGGATGGGGAGTGACGGAGCAGCGTTTGCAAGCAGAGGAACGGTCTTCCTTGGACAGGGACGAGGATGTTGATGAAAGGTTGACAAGGTAGGGGCAGAGGACGGGGAGGCGGGGACTTCAGAAGAGTGGGTGGGTAGAGGGTCAAGCGAGCAGGAGTTGTGGGTTGGAGGAGCTGATCAGTGGACGGATTTCAGTCGGGGCCGTAACCAGAGGTGAACTGCGCCGAGAATTCGGCCCGTGGGAGGAGGGCTCGAAGGTAGGGAGAGGAGGGAGGAATTGATGTAGCAGTCGGTGGATGTTGGGGCGAGATGTTTGTGTGTCGATGCAGCCGGATAGGAGTGATTAGTGGAGTGATTCAGAGAACGGCTGCAGTGAGCGCGACTGTGGGTGTGAGCAGAAGTGTGGTCGCTCTCAAAATGGTGTGGATCCATACCTGCCATAGCACGTACACATGGAAACGGTTCACCGGGCAAGGACTTAAGCAGAGGTCTTCCGGTGTCAGACCACGGGAGTTACGAGGAGCTGGTGTCGACGGTGGAGAATGTAGGTTGTCGCCGTGAGGCTTACGGGTGGCGCTATATCATGAGTCTGATGATACATTTTATTGAGTGAGTGGAGGAAGAGAGGGATGCAGCCGGGGTTAGATTGTTGACCGGGGCAGTGAGGGTGTCTGGGGTTAGGGTAGTGTCGATGAAGATTTTGTGAGGTACGCAGTTTTTGCGCGCGGGGTTCTTCGTTCGGAACTCACGCCGCTCCTGAGACCTTCTCATCGGATGACCTTGAGGGCATGATTTCATGGTTAGGCGTTTCACGCTGGCGGCCGGTTTGCTTCCAGTTTTTCGGAAGTGCAGGGGTGACCGAGGGTGAGGAGTTTTTAAAGTGCATCCTTTCCTTTGAAGCCTGTTGAGGGAGGCGAGTAGGGTGAATTAAGGTGGTTGTGAGTGATCATCGGGTGGAGCTTGAGGTTTCGATGTTCCAGGGGAGAGGAGTAGGAGGTGCACGGTCGGGAGAGGTTGCTGCGGGAATTGACAGAGCGATAATTACGGAAGGTGATGTTCCTGGGTGGGCGGGGGGCGCCGGCGACGTGACGAAACGGTGAGGTTATGATGTCATAAGCGTTTTTTGGCCCTGGTGTACCATTAGCCCAATCAGCAACCAGGTACCCTCCCGCCCCCCTTATCACCTGAATCTCCTCTAGAGCACCATTGTGTTCTTTTTAACCAATCTCTCTCAGAGGGGCGTGGGGAGGGGGCCTCCTTATTTTCATCTAAGGAACAGACAGAGAATCAGTACTTTTGAAACAGGGCTGAAACAGAGGGGATTATGGGATGCTGCAATGATCTGTTTGGTATTTCGAGCTAAACACTTCAGAGACATGTTTTGTATATATCTGAGAACTATAATATATTGATGAAAAATAGTATAATAGGGGACCTTTAAGTCTATGTTTTGATTGCCACACCTACAGTTTATCCCTTGAAAAAAGCATTGTACTTAGCAGCATCTTTTATTTTTCCCTCTCCTTGTTTCCCAGGTCGCACTGAAGAGGATATGTTTTCTTCCTCTCTGTATCGGTTCGGCCTGCATGGCTCCGGCCGGTGGGAGACTGTTCAGCCCACCGGGGGGAAGCCCCCTTCCACCGCGGGCCACTCCATGGTGTTCCACAGCCCCTCCAGAACGCTGCTGGTCTACGGCGGCCACCGGCCCACCACTGCCAGGTACACACACTTTTTTGTTGTTTATGAGGAAGCAACAGTTTGCTGCCTTTTTTTTCAGTGTATCAATATTTGTTTTTTGGATTGCACATGATATTTCTGTTTGTGCATATAGACAAGCCATTTATACCTTAAAGGTGGGGTAGGTAAGTTTGAGAAACCGGCTCGAGATACACTTTTTGTTATATTCCATGGAATGCTCTTAACATCCCGATAGCAATGAATATCTGAAGTACTTTGACAAAAAATCCATACAAAAATGTCATCTGTGGAAGCCGTAGTACTGTAAAAAGCACGACCAATCATTTTAGCCGGCCCGGCTAAAATAACTGGATGGCCTACCTGCCTGTCAGCCTTCCATCTGTGCACAAACTTATCTTGTGCCCTCATTGGTCATATGCGCGTTTGTGTGTGTTGGAGGAGGGGCTCTTTAAGGAAGTGGCCGATTTTTTCCGGCTGTGTATTTTCAAATTCTAGCGCACTCGAGCTGGTTTCTCCAAAATTACCTACCCCACCTTTAAGATTCCAGAATTATTACTTAAGTCAAAGTCGTACAAATGAACCATGTAGAAATGATTTAAAATAATAACATTAGTGGTTACCCGACATTTTGAGGTTTAACCAGCAAGTAAGTAACAGCATCTGTATCCATACTAAAAGTATACATGTTTATTTTTTTAAAGGTTTAGTGTGAGGGTAAACAACACCGACGTGTTCCACGTGGACCGGCGGTTCTGGACATCTTTCCGTTCCCGTTTCCCAGCAACCGGCCCCAGAGAGCGAGCTTTCCACACAGCCACCGTCATCGGAAACTACATGGTGGTCTACGGTAAGCATGGAGGAAATGGCTAGACATAATTCACTCTAATCAGTGACGTGCTAATGTTCTTCCTTCCTGCCTTTCTCTCCCAGGGGGGAATGTGCATATTCATTACCAAGAGGAGAAGTGCTATGATGAGGATATCTTCTTTTACCACCTGGGCTGTCACCAGTGGGTTTCTGCTGGGGAGAGATGGTCCCTCAGTGAGTTCCCCAACACTTAGTCCAGTTTTCATCAATAGCTTGTTTCTTGGTGGTTGTTACATCTGTTCATGCATTGCATACAAAGCATTCCATTTTTTTTCTCAGGAGGGGATCCAGTGAGGGGGCGTTACTCGCACGTTGCTGCTGTGATGGAGGGAAAAGTGCTGCTGGTTGCCGGGGGTTACAACGGTATTGCCAATGGAGACCTGGTGGCTTACAAAGTTCCGCTGTTCGTCAGTAGCGATCAGGGTGACAGGGTGAGTGAAAGAGTCATGAAACAATAGAAGTGGAAGTCATATCATTGGAAAAACCAATAAGAGAGAATGAAAATGTTGTGTTGAACAATTGCAGCTATGATAACTCAATTGTTGTGAATCTCTGTGTGTTTGTGTTGTTTTATTAGGATGCTGTGTGTGCTGAGGCGCTCGATGAAAGTATGTGCCTGAAGAACCCCGAGTGCAGCTGGTGTGAAGGCCGCTGTCGAGAGTACCAGCCCACTAATCCGGTAACATTTCCCTCATCTTAGCCTTTAATGTGACGCCTTCTTAATGTCATTGATATTGTGGTCAAAATAATTCAAAATAACAACATTAATCTGATATCTAATTGAAATTTGATAAGAAAATAAAACCGTATTAGTCAAATGAATATTTAACTTTGCTTATTGTGCAAATTCTCTATTTTTTGACAATTTAATTCCGGCCAAAATGTGTAGGGAGGAAGAGTGAGAGTCTAACCATAAATGCATATATAAAACGATTTAAGAGGCGCTGGGTTGTTTACAGGAGATCATATGTGACCCGCTCTATCGAAAGCAGTCGGAAGTCGCAACGGCTCATTTGAAAATAAACATGGATTTGCGTAAAAAAATAGTTTTTCAGGGTTTGGGTGTTTTGTTTGATTTTAAATAAACAAAGTCTTGGCTTTCAGAATATGAAACTTTTATTTTCCAAA